CTGTGTATCTACTAAGTTCTCAAAATCAGTCATGCCAACAATTTCATCTTTTCAATCATCAAAAAGAATCCACTCTACCTCTGCCTCGGCTCCTCCATCTGGGCAACTGCTCGGAACCCTGAAAACCCTGGGGTCATAAGCAGAGACCGTCAAGGGGCATGTGCTAAGTGTGTAAAGGGAGGGAGCATGGCCCCGCCCCTCCTTCCCCTCGAACCACCTCCCTGCCCGCTGCAGGGGTGTAGGCTCAGCAGATGTTTGTTGGGTGAACACAGGATTGAGTGTCCTGCCCAGTGCTGAGCTTTCCACCCAGCCTCTCCCTGCACCCTCCAACAGACCTGGAGGGAGGCACCACCCATACCCCCAAACCCCACAAAGCTCAGAGAGGTGACATAGCCTCCCCAGGCCACATGCTGAGAAGTGCTCCAGGCTGGTTCGGAAGGCACACCTGCCAATTCCGGGCTCCCGAGCCCTATCTCAGTAGCCCCAAACCTCCCATGCGCTGATCGCAAGAGCACAGAGGTCCCGTGGCTACATGCCTGCATAGGTCACACACACGGATGCGGGCACGGGTCCCCATGCACACTGCAGACACCTATGGCCATCACTTGTTTACAAACATACGGCAATTACTCCGTGCTCAGTTTTCCTTTCTAAGCTCTTTGCACTCAATCCTCCTGGCAAGCCTCTGCAGGAGGGAGGGGCTATTACTATATTTGAATCACAGATGAAGAAACCGAAGCACAGAGAGGTCGTGTGACTTACCCAAGGTCACACAGCTAGTGAGGGGGGGAAAGCCAGAATTTGAACCTGCACAACCCAGCTCCAGAACCCAAGTTCCCCCCAGACCTCAGGACCCAAGAATCAGGAAGCTCTGGCCCAGCCCCGTCCTCAGCCCTGGGAGGAAGGCTGGACAATACTTCTCGAAGCCCAGTTCACAGAGGAGGAAAACAGGCCCAGAGGAGGAAGGTGACTTGCTTGTGGGCACACAGCCTTGTGAGCCCAGTCTGTGGAACCTAGAGTGTCAGCCTCGGACCCCTGAGGATGCTCTCTCTCCCAGCTCTGTCCTTGATCTGGGAAAACTGAGGAGTGACTGCCTGGTGACAGCGTGGTCAGGAGGGAACGAGACATGACACACAAGCCATTACCTTTTAGAAAAGAAAGCCCAAGAGACCCCGAGAGGGACAGGGGAGACCAGAGCCTGAAAGGATCCCCCCCCACGCCACCCCCCATGCGTACACAACAGCCGAGAACCAGACAGGGCAGAAATGGATTCTTTCTGGAGCTCTCAGGTAAACACACTTCAAAGCCACAGAGGGCAGGAGTCAGAGGCGGAGGCAGAGGCGAGAGGAGGGGACTCAGCAATAACTCAGGGCCGTGGGCACAGACAAGGGAGGGCTGGACACGCGGAGACTGGCAATCACCACTCAGAAAAGGCAATTGGAAATTCCAATTTGGGTTTTCAATTTGAAGGTGGAGAGAGGCCAGGAGCTTGGGGGCTGGGGGGTGACCGTGGGAGAGATGGAAAGAGAGAGGACTCAGGGACAGAGAAGGGAGGACAGAGGCACAGAGCGAAGGACAAGAGCCAGAGACAAGGACAAGGAGACAGAGACACACAGAGACAGAAGAAAGATGGAGAGAAACAAAAGCAAAGCACAGGGTGCCCGGTGCCCCCCGCTCCCTGCCACAACACACACACACTTGCACACTGGCATGAGCCCACACCCCCCACACTCATATGTACTTACACACTCTTGCTCAGGACTGGGAGACCCGGGTTCTAGTCCTACCTCTGCTCTTGAAATGCCGTGTGACCTTGCAGAACACCTTGCTGCCCTCTGAGTCTCTGGTCCCCCTGAGACCTGGTGAGTTGAAGCCGGTTCCAAGAAGGAGGCAGAGATGGGGTAAGTGGGCAACAGGGGATAGGAAGACGGCAGTCTCCTGGGCTCATCCTTCCTGCCCAGAATGGGAGTGTGCCTCATCCCAAATAGTCACTGGGGCCTTACCCTCCAGTCCCTGTTCTGGATGCTTTACCAGTATTAATTTTACCAGCTCCTCACTCCCACCGGATTAGGGAGCTAAACCCCATTTGACAGATGAGGAAAATGAAGCTCTGTTAAGGGACTGGCTAGGGTCACTGGAGCCTTCCCCACAGTGAGTGCCCACCTGTTGCCGTTCACACCCCTTTTGGGGGGGGGGGCTCCTCCTCCTCCTCCCCCTCCAGCCCCGCCTCCGCCCAGCCCAGCCTGTTTGCTTGACCTCAGGACCAGGAGGGGTTAGTCTAGCCCGGTCTTGGAAGGTCCCAAGATAGAGGCGGCAAGAGGTCGGGGCCACGCGGTGCTGGCTGCAAAGAGCCAGTTGAGGCCAAAGGGTGCCCCGACCCCACACTCCTACCCCGAAATCCCAACCAGGATCCCGGAGGCGCGCTGTGCACGAAAGCTGTCCTGCGGCGCCACCTAGTAGCCAAAGGAGCCGCCTGTCCCCCTCCAGAATCCGCGGAGCAGCGGGTTGACCTGAGGACGCTGCAGGAATCCCACCGTGACTGCTCATCCCTGTTCGCTGGGACACTGGAAGGCAGAGAACTCCTACACCCTGGGGACCATGTGCTGACCATCCTCAATGGAGAGGAAGAAGGCAATACAAAGAGCTTGGTCCTTTGTCCTCCTGAGAGACAGACTCACACATCCTACAATCACCTGTACATCTCTACCTAGACTCCCACAGGCATCCCAAACTCAATCGATGTTCAGTTTGTACAAATCCAACCAATTTGAACATTTATTGAGTGCTTACTATATGTTCCGGGAGGTAGAGATATAACCATGAACAAAACCAAGATTCCTACCCTTGTAGCGGGGTGTGGTTGGGGGGAAAGACAATAAACAATAAACATCATAAGAAAACACTCTGGCTATTTTAGAAGCAGACAAAAAGAGCATGTCTGACAATGTAACTGTGTTCCATGACCCCCCACAGTCCTCAAGGCAAATTCATGGAGTTGGATGCAAATTAGAACATCGTTCCCTGGACCACGTGGGTGGCTCAGTGGGTTAGGCGATGACTTCTGCTCAGGTCAGGATCCCAGAGTTCTGGGATTGAGTCTGCATTAGGCTCCCTGCTCAGCAGGGAGTCTGCTTGTCCCTCTGCCCCTCACCCCACTCTTGCTCTTGCTTTCTCTCACTTGCTCTCCCTCTCTCTTTCAAATAAATAAAATCTTTAAAAACAACAACAAAAAATACCCACCCTTCCCTGGTCACCCCTCTGGGGCCACTCCTGTCCCAGGGAATATGATGCCTTCGCTAAGGGGTCCTCCTTCCTGGGACTCTCCCCTTCCACAAGAACGGCTCCTTTTCTCCAGAGATCTCTTGCTCCTGTGGGCTTGTCAGCCACCACCCACCCCAGTACCGCCCCACTATTCTCCTGTGAGGCAGAGCACACCACACACACACACACACACACACAGTCACTCACACACACACACTCAGGCTCTGTGTCTTGATTCCCAGTACCAACACCAACATGTGAGACCTGGACAGGCTCCTTGGCTCTGTGCTACTGTTTCCTCATCTGTAAAATGGGGTCGGGGCTGGGGGTGGGGAGGGGGTGGGGTTGCTCCTACCCCAGAGTTATGGATGGTAGGGGGGTAGATGAGTTAACAAATGCGAACAGTACCTGAACATAGTGTATTCTATTACTGCCTTCCGTTTAGGTGTTCTTCCCCCCTGGACTAGCTCCGGAAGGCTGGACAGTGAGGCTCATCCAGCAAGGTCATCTCCATGACCCCCTCCACAGCACAGGGCATACAAAAGGCCCTCAAATCACATTCCCTGACATTCACCACTCATCTATTGAGTGCCTTCTGCATGCCAGGTAAGGGGCTAGGAGCTGCAGGTGGAGCTGTGAACAGGGCAGGATTCCTCCCCACTGTAAAAAGAGTAATTTCAAGCCCAGAAGTTATCAAACTTTTTGGTCTGAGAAACTTTTATTTTAAAGATTTTATTTATTTGTTTATTTGACAGCAAGAGCAGGAACACGAGCAGGGGGAGTGGGAGAGGGGAAACAGGCTTCCCGCCGAGCAGGGAGCCCGGTTGCGGGGCTCGATCCCCAGACGCTGGGATCATGACCTGAGCCGAAAGGCATCACCTAACAGACTGAGTCACCCAGGCGCCCCGATTTGAGACACTCTTGACACACTTCTAAAAGTTCATGATCCCAAAGAGCTTTACGGTGTGTAACTACCTCCTGGTATTTACCCTATTCGAAACTAAAACTGAGAAATTCTTAATTTTTAAAATTTGGTAAGTTAATACATTGTATTTATTGATTCGTTTTTTAAAACAACAGCAAACCCATTCATTGAATGTTATAAATAAAGGGCCGTGGGGGGCCCTGTGGCCCAGTGACGTTGTCAGACATGCTCTGCTTGCCTGCTCTATGCTGAATAAATATTTCTAATGAAAATGGCTGTATTTTCCAAGGCAAACAAAAGAGCGGGAAAACACTGATACGGTTTTGCATTTTTTTTTTTTTTTTTGCAAATGTCTCTCATATCTGACATAATGGAAGAAAAGCTGGATTCTCATGCCACACTCCACCTGTGCGATACGTTGCTTTGGTCGATGTATGTGAAAAAGAATCCGATTCTACACTTCCCTTTATCGAAAAACTTTGTACTTGGAACACTCCGCTCCGCCTCCCGCCTCACCCACTACGAAGCTTCGGTACTCGGGAAAGTCGAGCAACCAGCCACGGCTGGTCACGGACGGCTTCTGGAAGAAGGCGTGGCCTTCTTAGGATTGGACAACAAATGCGTCCTTCTGCAGGTTGGCCCCGCCTCCAGTCCCCGCCTCTGTTTCCCTCCTTGGTAAAGTGGCGACCCCAAACGCATGCGTCCTTAGGCAGGCGGGCACTTCCGCCCGGTCACCCCGGAACCTTCTGTTCCCGCTTGGGTTTCCGCGGAGACAACGAGGGCGGCCAAGGCGGAAGTAGCGTGGTGTGTGGGCGGAACTAAACGCGGTCATGTCGGCCGCCCTGCTGCGGCGCGGCTTGGAGCTGCTGGGGGCGCCGGAGGGTGAGGAGGTCCTGGCCGGGGACGCGCAGCGCGGGCAGTGGGTCGGCAGGGGCGGCGGGGAAGATCCCAGAGGTTACGGGACGATCCAAGCCAGGTTTGGCCCTGGTGGGATGGAGACCCTGCGCGCCTTCCGACCCGGTCAGTCCCTCTCTCCCTTCCCGTGTAGCCCCCCGGGACGCAGCAGGCCCGGCCAAGCAGAACGGGGCCCCGGCGAAGCGGACCCGGAAGGCAAAGGCATCCCAGGCCCAGAAACTGCGGAACTCGGCCAAGGGAAAGGTGCCCAAGTCCGCACTCGGTGAGCTCGAGAAGGGGGCGGCACCCTGGAGGAGGGGGCGCTAGGAGGCTGAGCTTGAAAGGGTGGCCGGCCGTTTCTGGAATAGCTGGTGTGCGCCAGACGCGGATCCGGGTCCTGGGAGTACGGGGCTGGACGAAACTCATGGTCCCGGCCCTCATGGGCTACTGCCCCAGTGGGAAGAGAAGCACCAAAGAGTTTCGGAGGCGGAGAGTAATTACTAAGTGTGATGAGGCCTGTGGAGTAAGACTGGCGTGCTCTGGGAGGGCCTTAAAATAAAAAACCAAATCAGACTGCCCTGCTGAAGCGGCATTTAAGCCCATACCTGAAGGAAGTGTTAAGACTGAGCCAGGGCAAGAGCGCTCTAGAGAAGATAGCTCATGCGGAGGTAGGTAGAAGTTCGTTGCTGTGGCAATTGGCCTGGGAAAGGTGACGTAGTGGCCAAGAGCCAGAGATGGATCGCTTAACAAGCCGTGAATGTTCTGCGTGCCTGGTGCTGTTCTAAACCCTGCATACGTAAATGTTCCCTCTTTGGTCCTCCCGCGACCCTGTGAGGTCGGTACTGTCATGACCCCCATTTGTCAGATGCAGAAACAGGCACCGGTCCAGATGGCACAGGTGGAAACCAGGCAGTGTGTCTGCGGAGATTTGCTGTCACCTACTCCGTTCGGGTGGGAGACGCTGTGGCTTGGGCAGCCACGATGCTGCAGGGGGAAGATGTGAAGAGAGGGAGCGTCGCTGGGCTTCAGCGGTGAATTGGCTGCTGGGATGGAGGAAGAGGGAGACACAAGAACAGCCCAGTTTCTAGTAGAGCATGTTGGGAGATAGGGTGCCATATAACAGGAGGGACAGACTTGAGGAGGGACAGGTGTGGGCTGGACGATGGGGTCTTTTGACATGTGTCAGGGCTCGGTGAGCTCCTAGCGTGTCTCTGAACGTGTACCCAGAGCCTGGTACATGAAAGGCGTTCTGGTATTTGTTTAAAGAACTATGAATTCCAGGCAGGAAACGGCGTGAGCAAGAATAAGGAGGCAGAAAAGTGAGGTGCATGTAAGCAGCAGTGGTGTTGATGTGAAACAGGAGCATGGGGGGCCAGGGGTCACCTCCCATGTCCCAGCCCTTGTCCCCACATCCCATCATGCTGCCTAACGGACGATGAGGGGACTCTGGGGCCACCTCGGTGTGAGCCTCATCATCTCTTGCTTGGATTATTTCAAAAACCTCTTCACCTCCACTCCCCCACCCGGTAATGTTGTTCGCCCCACAGCGGCCAGAGTGATCCTGTGAAGCGGTAAGTGGGACCAGTCTCTCCCAGCCTCACACCCTCCAGTGGCTTCCATCAGACTTGCTACCTCATGAGGCCCCACGTGGTCTGTCCCATCTCCATCTTCACCTCCTACTGCTCTCCCCTCGCCATTCTAGCCATTTGCTGTTCTCCAGACACATTAATCGCACTACTTCAGGTTCTTTGCACTGGCTGTTCCCTCTACTTAGAATGCTCTTCCCCAACATCCACACCCTCTCCCATGAGTGTTTGCTAAAACGTCTGCACTGAGGTCCACTCAGAACCTCCTGTGAGAATTGCAGCCCGGGGCTGCCTGGGTGGCTCAGTGGGTTAAGCCTCTGCCTTCCGCTCAGGTCATGATCTCAGGGTCCTGGGATCGAGTCCCACATCAGGCTCTCTGCTAGGGAGTGAGCCTGCTTCCTCTTCTCTCTCTCTCTCTACTTGTGATCTCTCTGTCAAATAAATAAAATCTTTAAAAAAAAAAAAAAAAGAATTGCAGCCCTTCACCCCTGGCATTCCTCATTTCTCTCTACTGTGGTGTTTTTCTTCATAAAATGCATCACTCTCTAAAATACTGTTTCTCTCATTTACCATGTTTCCTTGCTCTGGAGTGTAAGCTCCACGGGGTGGGAATTTTTGCTCTGTTTTCTGCTGTTTGTCCCTCACGTAGCACAGTGTCTGCCATGCAGTAAGACTTGTTTGTTGCTTAAGTCACTTGAGCATCTGGGAGCGGAGGGTGGGGTGGGGGATGCTTTCAGTATGATCGAAGGGAGAGTTGATTTGACAGAAAAGAGCGCAGGGTGCTGGAGTTAACCGAGGGAGGGGACGCAGGGCCTTTGGCATGGCTAGTGGGGGGATGGAGAAAGCTGTCAGGAGGGGGCCCAGTGGCTTCCAGGGAGTACTTCTGAAATGATGCCCCCGTGCCTGCCATCCACAGCTGAGTTCAAGAAGCGAGAGTGTCGAGGCTACCTCGGAGTAAACCTGAAGTTCATGACCAGTGCAAGAAGTACCGTGGCAGAGTCAGTCACCCGGCAGGTTTGTCAGAGGGGTGGGCTCCGGGGCAGAATCCGGGTGGGAAGAGCCGAAGCTGTTTCTGAGACCCATGGGAGTCTCTGCCCTAAGCACAAAGCAGAGGTTGGGCCACCCCTCTGGATGGCAAAGAGCAGAGCAGGGCTCTTGGGAGGCTGGGCCTGGCCTTACTCCTCTGTGACCCTTGTGGGCCTCAGTTTGTTCCTCTGTAAGTGGAAAAAGTACGCCCTGCCTCCCAGGACAGTTGGGAGCCAGGTGAGTGGTGGAGAGCACGCCACTCTGCTAGGCTGTGCAGCTCCAAGGGGCAGTCCTTCAGGTGCCAGAAGATACCACCCAGGGATCCTGACATACACACACACACACACCCCCATCTCCAGATTGTGCGGCAGAACCGGGGCCGCAAGGCCTGTGACCGGCCTGTAGCCAAGACGAAAAAGAAGAAGAAGGCTGAGGGCACTGTGTTCACTGAGGAAGACTTCCAGAAGTTCCAGCAGGAATACTTCGGCAGCTAGGCTCCCAGGAGGACACAGTGGGAAAGGCACTCAGGCCCAGTCTCCTCCTCTGACCTCGCGGCCTCTGCTAGCCCCGGGGGCCAGAGCAGGGTGGCTGGCAAGGAGCTGCGGAGCTGGAAGCCCTGGGGCGGAGATGCTCTCAGACCAGAGCCGACATCTGCAGGCTCAGGAAGAGCCATCTACCTGCTAGAAGACATTTCTGACTGCTTTGTTTGCTTTGCCCCAAGTAGGGCCTCTGGGCTGTTCGCTCCAGAAAGGCCAGTTCTTAGGCCCTTGGGGCCACACCGCTAGGAGTGGGAAGGCCGCCAGGCCAGCTTCCAGGTTCTAATAAATGTGAACCCAATAGCAGTGTGTGTACTGCTGATCTGCCTTATGGGGTGTCTCCCCTCTCCTCTGGCACCAAGGGACCTTTCACTGTCCCCCGTGGTTCTTAGGGCTCTGGGTCAGGCCTCCTGCCCTGGAGGAGGCGGCCGCAGCCAACAAGGAACCCCTTAAGATGAAGTATATCCGTTGGTTCCAGGGCAGCTGACTCGGGGTTCAGAAAGTGGGGGTGCAGCTGCCCTGGTGCCCAAGGCTTGTGCTGTTGTTGGGGGGCAACTCAGGGGGTGACCTCAGGAAACAGGGTTTCACACTCAGGTATGTGCCCGGGCTGGGAGCTGGGGTTGGGGTTGGGCTGCGGCACCAGGAGAGGGCGGGCTGGCCCCTTTACAGCAGGCACGCGCCAGCGATGGGTACATGGTGAGCGAATGTCTGAGCGAGTGGATGTGTTGACCAGATGGGGCTTCGATGTAGAGGAGACATTGAGTTCTGGAAGTCCAGGAGCCCCTTCTTCCCGGTGGAGAAGAGGGCCCTGGATGGCTGTGGGCAGCTCCATCCAACCCTCTGTTCCCCGTGTGTGGTAACCCCCCTGTGGCTGGGCCCACTGGGGAGCCCCAGTCTGCCTGCCCCACAGTGAGTCCTGGCCAGAGGGGAGAGAGCGCCACAGTCCGCCCACTGCTCCCGGGGTCTGCTCCTGGCTGTTAGCTTTCTGTCCTAGGCGCAGACAGCAGGGAAGCTGGCAGAGGCAGAGTTGGAGCCTGTCCTGTCTGTAGGTGGCCTCCATCCCAGCAGTAGGATGCAGGCGTCCATCTGGGAGGCCAGCCGGGCAGGGGAGGAGGGACTGTGACCAGACCTGTACGCACCTGCCTTCCTCGGATGGGCTTATTCCAAAGAAGGGAAGGCTGGTATTTCTCTCATTCTTGCTCCTGCCTGCTGAGCTCTTGTGACCCTTGTGGGGAGAGAGGCAAACTTGGGTATCCTCAGAGACTCCGTCCCTCCATCTCAGCCGCTCAGCGAGAAGCTGGCTGGGCTATGCGGGCGCCCTCCTGCTCACCTCAAGGGAAAGGGGCTGACCAGGCCTGGAGCTCCAGGGCCCCTTTCTAGCAAGGACAGGCCCGGCTCCTGTGCAGGGAGGCAGGTGTGTGAGCTGGGGTCCTGGCACTTCTCTGCTGCTGGGCTTTCCAGTAGCTCTTCCGTCCCATTTGTGCTGCATAGCACTGGTGATGTGGGTGTCCGTGCTCCCCTTGAGTAACCAAAGTTAGTGCTCACTCCTGAGATTCTGGCCCCAGTACGTCAGGGTAGGACTCTAGGACCTACTTTCAATGGTCACCCTGGACAGGAGCACCTGGTGGCTCATTTGGTTAAGGGTTGAAGTGAAAACCCTGCTCCTTTCCTGATTTCCTCCATCTCAAGAAATGGAAACTCCATCCTTCTAGTCACTCAGCCACCATTCTGTCCCTTCTTATACACTCCCCATCAGAGCCTGACTTGCTTGGCCGTTAGAATCTATCCAGGCCCTGACCAGCTCTCCTCACCCGTGCTGAGCCCAGCCCGCTCCTCTTTGCCTCTCCCCCTGCAGGAACCCTCTTCAGAGAGCAGAGCAGCACGCCTGCTCCGGGGACTCCCCAAGTCACACACAGGCTTTCGAGTCCCATCACGGCTACAAGGCTGCAGGCACTGTGGGCTGACTCCCTCCCCTCCTGCCGGCTTTGCCTCCCAGAGAGGGTCTCCCTAAACACCCATCTTAAATGGGCAGATCCACCCCCCACCCCAGCGCTCAGCGCACCCACTGCCATGTCATGTCCGATGTCTTCTTGGCCGCCTCCCTTGCCAGAATGAGAGCAGAGATTTTTGTCTGTTTTCCTCACTGCTGAGTCCTCAGCACCCAGAACGACGTCTAGCCTGCGGTGGGTGCTCGTGAATTGTTGCAGAGAAACACAAAGGTCTGTTCCTGATCTCCAAGGACCTGCAGCCTCATCCTGGGGGGTTAAAAGAGGCGTGCAGTGCGGAGAGCCGAGTGGCTCCAGGATCCAGCCTCCGGGTGAGGGCAGCGGAGGGCTTGGCGCTGAACCAGGAGCAGCTCCTCCCCCACCCTGCAGCAGGGGTAGAGCCCAGCCCTGGGGCTGACCGAGGCCTAGCTGGGCCACACAGTAGTGGGCCTGGAGCTCAGTCTCATTCCCACTCCCTGTGTGGGGCTCTCAAGCACTGGGAGCCCGTGTGCTGAGCAAGGCCTCTGTCATGGTCTGTACCAGCTGCCCCTGGGCCAGCGTCCATGTTAACAAAGGTGCAGTCATGAGAGCCTCCCTACCACTCCCACTGCGGATTATGAGCTACTAACTGGAAAGCACTCGGAGCCGTGCTTCAGAATCTAAGTAACTACTCGGAGCCGTGCTTCAGAATCTAAGTAACTATTAGTTGTGATTCTTATTACTTGCCACGCACTGTTCTAGGTCGGAAATACGGGAACCAACAAGACAGCAAGATCTTTGCCATCAAAGAGCTTACTTATGTTGTCATTGAGGAATGGGAAGGAGAAAATAAACGTGTGTGCCTGTAGTTTCAACTAGAGATAAGTATGTAAAAAAAAAAACTGTAAAGCAGAGAGGCTGGGACATCAGCAGAGTCCTCTTTCTTGGAAGGCCTTTGGGGTGACCTACATGACAGAGGAAAGGAGCCCTGGAAAAATCTTGCAGGCAGAGGGAACAATTGCAAAGGCCCTGAGGCAGGAATGGGCTTAGCAGAGAGCAGAAAGGTCAGAGTGGCTGGAGCACAGTGAAGGAGGGTAAAGGCTGTGTAGTCTGAGGCCACACACTCTACAGGGACTTTTGCTGCCCATCCCATTCCTGCCTTTTGGGTTTGGGGAGTCCTTATCCCCAGGGGCCTGGGAAGGGGCAGAGCCCAGCATCCTGGCCTTTGGCCTCCAGCCAGCACTGCCCCTCAGGACACCCCAGGGAAAGTTTTCCCTTCTGTCAAATGGAGGAGCAGACCACTGTCTCCAAGAGTCTGCTCCAAGGGCAGAGGGTCCCACTGGCACCAGATGTGGCAAGGTGGCTGGGTCATTTCCAGGCGGTCTCTCTCGCCTCCTCTCAACTCTCCATGTCCTCCACATGCCCCAGGCTCCGGCAGCTGCCCATTGTGCAAAGCATAAGAGACTGTTGGGGGTAGACAGAAGGAAGCAGTGTTTGTGGTTGTAGAATTTTTATTTACTACTTAGATAAAAAAAACTAAAGTCACAACACTGAAGTGAGGAATAGAGCAGGAGTCGCAGATGGCAGTTGTGCTGGTGTGCAGGCCTTCGGCAGTGGCCGTAGGCTCCCCTCTCCCCCAGCTCCTCCCCCAAACCACCAGGTATGAGCCACATGGGGAACTGATGTGATCTTAAGCCTCCACATTTGCATTGATTTCTTAACACAAATTAGCACCCACACGTCTTTTCCCCAAACCCCCAGCTTTGCCGACAGTCTAGGGTCCCCCTACAGTCCTGCCTGTAAGGAATTTGGGAGCCACACCAAGTGTGCACTCAGGAGTCAGACTGCCTGGGTCTGAACCCACCTGGCAATGCACGGGTTACCCAACCTCTCCAAGCTGTAGTTCCTCATTTGTAAGAGGGGGATGAGGTGATCCTTATGAGAAAAGCATTTGGGGGGCACCTGCTGGGCCTCTTGATCTTAGGGTTGAGTCCCACATTGTGAGGACTTAAGTCTTTTTAAAAAGTACTTTGGGGGACGCCTGGGTGGCTCAGTGGGTTAAGCTGCTGCCTTCGGCGCAGGTCATGATCCCAGCGTCCTGGGATGGAGTCCCACATCGGGCTCCTTGCTCAGCAGGGAGCCTGCTTCTCTCTCTGCCTCTGCCTGCCACTCTGCTTGTGCTCACTCTCGCGCTCTCTCTCTCTCTGACAAAAAAAAAATAAAAAATAAAAAAAATAAAAAGTACTTTGGGGGCACCCGGGAGGCTCAGTGGGTTAAAGCCTCTGCCTTTGGCTCAGGTCATGATCTCAGGGTCCTGGGATCGAGCCCCACATCGCGCTCTCTGCTCAGCAGGGAGCCTGCTTCCTCCTCTCCCTGCGCCTGCCTCTCTGCCTACTTGTGACCTGTCAAATAAAATCTTTAAACAAAAATAAAAATTAAAAAGTACTTTCAATAGTACTTAGTCCCCCCCAACATCAATGCATGTAGCTGAGTGGGTGCTGTTTTCCCCACCAGTAACTCCCACCCTCAGCTCTAACTGTTCAGCCATTTAGAGGTGGGGGACCTTGTCTGCAGTAATTTCAATACCTGGATGGGTGGTCCCTGCTGAGCAAGATGTAGGAGAGGCCCATGGCCTTGTAAGGAATTCTGCAATCTCAGGGCAGGACCCCCACTCCCTCCAATGCCTAAGGAGAGCTGGGTCACAGCTTGTTGTATTCCAAAACCAGGCCTGCCCTCCCAGTCACTTCATGCTGGGCATTGGGAAGGTCAGGGAGTTGGCCTTTGCTCCCCTTGCTCAGCAGGGAGCCTGCTTCCCGCCCCCACCAGCCTACTCGTGATCTGTCAAATCAAAATCTTTGAAACTAATATTCACACGGCAAAATGGGTCAAGAACCTTAGGATTCTTCCTGCACCTATTTCCATGCCCCACCAAATACCACAGGGGCTGGGAGAACACGCCTAGGCAGCCTACAGCACTATCCGGTGCTGCACTCAGTGCAGTCACGCAGTCGGCGGCATCCATGTAGCTACAGATGAACATGAAAACGGACTCCCTGGAGAGGTAGGTAGCCCCACAGGCCAGAAAGGGAGAAGGGACTGGCCCAGATGGGACTCAGGACTGGTTTTTCACTCTCAAGTCCTGGGTTTCAACGAGGCTTCCTCTTATCACCCCTATGGGCAGACCTGCCAGCCTTTGCAACCAGCTCTGGCCACGAACTTCAAGTTGTCTTGAACTTCCAACTCCATACAGTTCATCCAAGCAAAAACGGGATTTTCTCAAGTTCTGGGAATGACTCTACTGAACTATAAAAAACCAGAAGTGAAACTTAAATCACCTTATGC